ACTATGAACAACAGTACACCTACAAATTGAATGACTTAGATGAAATGGACAAATTCCTAGAAACACACAAATTACCAAAACGGCCTCAAGAAGAAATAGAAACAGGTTTACTGACCTAGAACAAGTAAAGAGATTAAATCAGTAATCAAAAACCACCTAACAAAAAAACAAGGTCCAAGATCAAATGGCTTCACTGGTGAACTCTTTTAAACATCTAAAGAATAGCAATCCTTCTCAAACTCTTCCAAAGAATAGAATAAGAGGAAATAATTCCCAACTCATTCTATAAGACCAGTACTACCCTGATAAGAGGATATTGTGTAATTTTCCAATGTGCTTCTGGTACTGATTTCTAATTTCATTCCACTGTGATCAGGAAAGATATTTTGCATGATTTCAATCTTTTAAAACTTATTGAGGTTTAATTTGTGGCCTAACATTCTGTTCTACCTCGCAGAAAGACATTATGAGAAAAAAAAAATCAGACCAATGTCCCTTTTATGAATGTAGGTGCAAAAATTCTCAAAAAAATACCAGCAAACCAAATCCAACATCATTTTGTCTTGTTTTATTTTGAGACAGAGTCTTACTGGGCTAGAGTGCAGTGGCATCATCATAGCTCACTGTAACCTCAAATTCCTGGCCTCAACTGCCTTGGCCTCCCAAGTAGCTGGGACTACACATGCGTGATACCACATCTAGCTAAATTTTTCTATTTTTTGTAAAGACAAGGATCTTGCTATATTGCCCAGGCTGGTCTCAAATTCCTGGGCTCAAGCAATCCTCTTGCCTTGGTCTCCCAAAGTGTTAGGATTACATGTGTGAGTGAACCCCCATTCCCAGCCCAACAGCATTTCAAAAGGATTACACACTGTGATCAAGTGAGATTTATTCCAGAAACATAGAAGGGTGGTTCAACATAAGAAAATTAATCAGTGTATTATATTATACTAGTAGAGCAAAAAGGAAAACACACATGATCATCTTGACTGATGCAGAAAAAGCATTTGATAAAATCCAATACCCATTCATGATAAAACCACTCAAAAGACTAAGAATAAAAAGAAACTTCCTTACCATGATAAAGGGCATTTATGAAAAATCCATAATGAACATCAAATTTAACAATGAAAAGCTTTCCTTCTAAGATCAGGAATAAAATAAACATGCCCACTTTCACCACTGCTATTCATTCAGCATTGTAGTAGGAAGTTCTAGCCAGAGCAATTCAGCAAGAAAAAGAAATAAAAAATGTCTAAATTAGAAAGGAGCAAGCAAAACTATCTCTATTCATAGATGAGTATCCCAAACTAAATATATAACATGAACTACTGGTGCTAATAAGTATATGCAGCAAAGTTGTGGAATACAAAATCAACACTATCTAAAAATGAATTAAGAAAATAATTCCTTTTATATCATCGACTGAAAGAATAAAATATGTTAAGAATAAATTTATCCAAAGTGGTAAAAGATTTGATCACTGAAAGCTATAAAACCTTGCTGAAAGAAGTGAGAAATAAATAAATGGAAAGGCACCACAGATTGGACAGCTTAATATTGTTAAGATGGCAATACTACCCAAAGTGCTCTAAAGATTCAGTGTAATCTCTACCAAAATCCCAACAGGCTTTTTTGCAGAAATGGAAAATGTGATCCTCGAATTCATTAGAAAGGCCCCAAATAGTCAAAACCATAATAAAAAAAAAAAAAAAGACAACATACTTCAGGACTAAAAATTCTCTATTTTAAAACTAACTATAAAGCTACAGTAATCAAGACAGTGTGGTAGTAGCATAAAAAGAGACACATAGACCAGCAGAATAGAACTGAGAGTCCAGAAGCAAACCCATACATCTATGGCCTGATTTTTAACATGGGTGCCAAGATCACTCAAAGGGGAAAGAACAGTCTCTTCAACAAATAGTGCTGGGAACCACAAAGTCCAAAAGCTGCAGATGCTAGCATGGTTGTGGAGACAAGGGAACACTGTTACACTGTTGGTGAGATTGCAAACTAATACAGCCTCTTTGGAAAGACATATGGAGAATACTCAAAGAGCTAAAAGTAGACCTTCCATTTGATCCCACAATCCCATTACTAGGTATCTATCTACCCAGAAGGAAATAAATCATTTTACCATAAGGCCATTTGTACTAGAATGCTTATCACAGCTCAATTCACAATCACCAAAATGTAGAATCAATCCATGAATGAATTAATAAACTGTGGTATATGTACACCATGGAATACTATACAGCCATAAAAGATGGAGACTTTATATCTTTTTTTTTTTTTTTGAGACAGAGTCTCAAGCTGTCAGCTTGGGTAGAGTGCCGTGGCTTCATAGCTCACAGCAACCTCCAGCTCAGACTTAAGTGATCTCCTTGCCTCGGTTTTTCTACTTTTTAGTAGAGATGGGGTCTTGCTTTTGCTCAGGCTGATCTCAAACTCATGAGCTCAAGCAATCCACCTGCCTCGGCCTCCCAGAGTGCTAGGATTACAGGCGTGAGCCACCATGCCTGACCAAGTCTTTACATCTTTTGTACTAAACCTAGATTGAAGTGAAGAACATTCTCCTTAGTAAAGTATCACAAAAATGGAAAACCAAGTATCCAATGTACTTAATATTGATATGAAACCAATAGATGAACTACTACATGCCCACATAAGAGAAAAACACAATTACATTTAAGTCGGGGGTGGGAGGAGAAGGAAGGGGAGAGAGGGAAGGAGGGAGGAGGACTGGTGTGCCCTCACCTAACTGACACAATGTAAGAGTATATGGCACACCTCCTGGGTGAAGGGCTGAACTACAACTTGGACTTTACCTAACAAATGCAAACAATGTAATCTAATCATTTGTACTCTCATATTAATCTGAAATTTAACATATAATCCTAGCACTTTGGGAGACTGAGGCAAGAGGATCGCTTGAGCCCAGGAATTTGAGACCAGCCTGAGCAACACAGCAAGACCCTCATCTCTACAAAAAATAGAAAAATTTAGCTAGATGTGGTATCACACATGTGTAGTCCCAGATACTTGGGAGGCCAAGGCAGGAGACTCACTAGTAGAGCTCAGGAATTTGAGGTTACAGTGAGCTATGATGACGCCACTGCACTCTAGCCCAAGGAATGGAGTGAAACTCTGTCTCAAAATAAAACAAGACAAAATGATGTTGGATTTGGTTTGCTTGTATTTTTTCTTGAGTATTTTTTGAGGACACATGCAAATAATATCTAATCATTTGTACTCTCATATTAATCTAAAATTTTAAAAAATGGTGCTGGGACAAGTAACTATTCTTATACAAAAAAAAAATGAATTTTGATCCCTCCCTAACACCATATATAGAAATGGACTTAAGATGGCTCACAAATCTAAATGCAAAAATTAAAGCTATAAAAGTCTGGGAAAAAACATAGGGGTAGGGCAGCACCCATAGCTCAGTGGGTAGGGTGCCAGCCACATACACTGAGGCTGGCAGGTTCAATCCTGGCCTGGGATTAACAATAATGACAACTGCAAAAAAGCAAATAGCCGGGTGCTGTGGTGGGCACCTGTGGTCCCAGCTACTTGGGAGGCTGAAGAAAAAGAATTGCTCAAGCCCAGGAGTTTGAGGTTTCTGTGAGCTATGACACAATGGCACTCTACCAAGGGCCACAACTTGAGACTCTGTCTCAAAAAAAAAAAAAAATAGGGGTAAATCTTTATGACCTTGGATTTGGCAATGGCTTCTTAGATATGACACCAAAAGCACAAGCAACCAAAGAAAAACTAGATAAACTGGACTTCATCAAAATTTAAAGCTTTTGTACATCAAAGTGCATTATTAAAAAATTACAAAGACAACCTACAGAATGGAAAAAATTTTTCCAAATCTTATATCTGATAAGAAATTCATATCCAGAAAGAATGCTTATAACTCAATAATATAAAGACAAATAAGCTGATTTTAAATGGGCAAATGATCTGCACAGACATTTCTACAAACAAGGTGTACAAATAGCCAACAACTATGTGAAAAGATGCTCAACATCATTAGTCAATAGGGAAATGCAAATTGAAACCATAATGAGATACCACTTCACACACAATAGGATGATGATAATAAAAATAAAAATAGAAACAAAATAAAAACTGTTGGCAAAGACATGGAGAAACTGGAACTCTCTTACATTGCTGATGGGAATATGAAATGGTACATACAGTCAGTGTGGAAAACATTTTAACAGTTACTGGAAAATTTAAATAGAGAGTTATCGTATGACACAGCAGAGAGTTAACATATGACCCAGTGGAATACCTAAGAGAATTGAGAGCACATGTTCATATAAAAATTTGTATATGAATATCACAGCAGCACTGTTTATCATAGCCAAAATCTGGAAACAATCCAAATGTCTATTCATTGATAAATGGATAAACAAAATGTGGTATACTATGGAATATTATCAGCCATAAAAAGGAGTGAAGTAATGCTACGGATGAACCTTAAAAACACTATGTTAAGTAAAGGAAGCCAAACACAAACAGCCACATGTTATGATTTCATTTACATGAAATATCTAGAATAGGCAAATCCATAAAGACAGAAAGAATGGTGGTTGCCAGGGCTGAGAAGGAGGGAACAGTAATGAGTATGGCCTTTGCTTTGGGGGTGACAAAAATGCCCTGGAATTAGATATTGGTGATGGTTGAACAATCTCATAAATGTACTAAAATTCACTGTATTGTACACTTTAAAATCATGAAATTTATGGTATGTGAATTATATCTCAGAAAAAGAAAAAGGAAATACTGTAAGTCTATCAAGGGGAGCTTTCTATTTATCTGAGGGGACTTCTATTTAATGGGCAGAAGGCAGTTCTCATTTAATGTGAACTGCTTTTCAAAGAAAAAAATGCGTTTCTGCTGTAGTATTTCCATTCATTCATTCAACAGTCATTGAGTACCTGTTATGTACAAGAATCAAGGCAGCATCTGCTTCTACTTGCCTGTTGTTGCTTGAAGGCTTCAAGAAGTAAATCAATATCAGTAAAAGTGAGAGGAAATTGCAGCCGAGGACCTAAATAGGAATCTGGGACATCTATCAACTCCACATACTCCTGTCTACTCTTGATTTCCTGTTGACTTGCAATAAATCGATGAACTAATTCTGCAAAAGGGAAGATAGAAAGCAGGAGGTGGGAACCAACATTCCAATGCTTAAATTTAATAAATATCTTCTTGAATATCTAGCCCAAATAAGGCACTGTGCTAAATGTTATGAATACCAATATATCCCACATATAACCATGAGGATTGACTGATTCTGAGAACAGCAGGTACATTCACATGGATTACCATCATCCCTCCAGGACAAATATTTTACCACAGCAGTGAGCCCATAATCAGGGGGAAAGGGAAGGAGATGGAAGCACAGAGAAAACTGGTCAATCAAGGTATCTTGCTGAAAACATAAAAATGCATTGTATCAGGTTCAATCTGCTGCTATTCAGAATCCACTGAAAATTAGACTGCAATATTCAATTTTTCCTGTAAAACACTTTAGAGGATTTTACTTAGCTGTAATTGATTTCTCTCTTTACATAAAAATAAATTTTCTGGCATGATTTTTTTTAAAAAAAAAAAAGTTAAATGACAAACCAGAGGCAGAAATACTCAAAGAACCTCTCTCTCAGGGAGACATTGCTATATAACAGATTGCTCGCATTGCCCATTTTAGTGGGTGCTAAGAACCAGGGTCCTTGTTGCTAGATTGCTCATGCAACAGTCAGCCCAAGAACAGAAATCCAGACAATTAAGGGGGGGAGAAAGATGAAAGAGATGTGGTAGATTGATTGCAAAAGTGAGCCTGAGTCTCTACCCTAATTTCTATGACTTTTTCAATGTGATTTTGACTCCCAGCAAGAGTCTATCTCCCCATCCCTTCAAACGGGGCAAGGTTTAAGCTTAGGTTTATTGGTGTAAAGAATGTGATGAAAGTGATGTATACCAGTTCCAAGCCCAAGTCTCAGGAGGCTTTGTATGCTTCCACGCTCTCTTTTGGAATGGTGCCACTACCGTAAAGCCCAGTCTAGCCTACTGACAGATCCAAGATCATGTGGAGCAGAGCTGAGTCATCTTAGTCAAAGCTGTCCTAGATCAGCCACCAGCCAGCAGACCTCCAGACAGATGAGTGAACTCCAGCCAAGACCCAAAAAACTGCCAAATCAAGCCTGCCAAGATCAGCAGAAGTTCTCAGCTAATCTGTAGACTTGTCAGCAAAAAGAAATGTTTATTACATGCCACTGAGGTATTGTGTTTGTTTAATACACAATATTATTGCAGTAACAGATAAATGACCCAGAGAATGATGACATACTCTTCAACACATTAATGCCGAGTTGCTACAAAGACCATTCATCAGAAGTTCTCTGCAAATGGTTTCTATCTTTTTAAATATCTGAAGTGGTCAAGTTTGGAAAGCATGATGTTAACAAATGTAGACAGAATACATTTTTTTCATGATCCAGGTATGCTCAGAGATTACAGTTAAGAACTAAACTTGAAAAAAGTTCTAGAGTAAAGTCATATTTGGTAATTTTTAAAAATTATTTTCTAAATTATTATGTACCCTAATTTTTTGCTGGTGGTTTCATGATGTTTTATAAGAAGTTGAATTTAGCAATTATAATGTCTATCTTCAATGTGGTCCAACAGAGGTTATTTTTCTCATTTGGATTTGGTTTGAGATTTAAGAATGACCTAATTATTTCACCTTATATATAGAAATTAGAAATGCAGAGAATCTTAAGAAACTTTATCTCAGATTTATTATATAGGCAGTAAAGCCTAAATAGTTAACTTTCTTTTTTTTTTTTTTTTTTTTTGTAGTTAACTTTCTTAAGGTTCAAACCATCCATTTCAATTTGGTAGTCATTCTTGGAAATGAATCTTGCTCCAAAGGAAATCTTTCCTTTCCTTGACTCCACAATGAAATATCAAGCAACTTTTAGGAAAACAAAACAAAACAAAACAAAAAAAACTCTAGTGATTTCACTTCATTATCTAAACAGAGCTGTAAAGATTATTTCTGTTAAAGACTCTAAGAAATAACATGAATGCGGAAAGCACATGGTCAGAACCAGGAGATTCTGTTTTTTAGATGGAGGAGGAACTTATGACACTATTGCAGTATTCATGAGGAAGGCACCACAGCTTTTGAAGCATGCCTGGTTAAGAAATCCAGACACTAAAGCAGTGATTTTTTTTTTTTTTTTTGAGACAGAGTTCCACTACGTCACCCTCGGTAGTGCTGTGGCATCACAGCTCACAGCAACCTCAAACTCTTGGGCTTATGGGAGCCTCTCGCCTCAGCCTCCCAAGTAGCTGGAACTACAGGCGCCCACCACAACACCTGGCTACTTTTTGTAGTTGTCATTGTCATCTGGCAGGCCTGGGCTGGATTCAAACCTGCCAACTTCAGTGTATGTGGCTGGTGCCCTAGCCACGGAGCTACAGGCGCCAAGCCTAAAGCAGTGATTTTTCGACCTGTGTGCCGTGACAATTTTTAAAGATCATTAATTAAATTATTTTCAAAGGAAGTTCAAAGCACAGTAAGTACATTCTTTTTTCTACTCTTTTTTTGGTCAACATAATTTAAGTGTGCTGTGGGAGTTTAACTCTAGGTCCAAGTGTGCTGTGAGATAAGGAAGGTTGAAAAAGCCTGTGCTAGAGGGAAAGAAGAAGAGAAGTTGAAAACCCAGATATGCATGTGGGGACCCTACGGGGGTATCCCACCCAGCTCCCCTCCAGAGGCCTGGTGGCTTTTCTTGCCTATCTATGTACTCCAGTACGATCCTCTCTTCAGACTCTGGAACATAATGAAACATAGTTGAAGACTCCTCCAATCTAAAATGTCACCTCTGGACCTCACATCTGCTCCACATAGAGGAAGATTTCCTCTTTCACCCCAGCACGCTATTGTTTGCCACTTCTATCTTCATTGTTCCCACTGTTCCCCTCTAGCCCTTCCTTTCTCCTCTTTGAATAATTTCTCGTCCTTCAAAATGCAGCAACCCCTGTCCGAACCACAGCTTTTGCACGGCATCATGTTGATGATGCCGATGATGAGAGCTCCCGGTTACTGAATGCTTACTATGTGTCAAGCACTGTTCTAAGCTCTTTCACATATATATTCAATACCCATTTGATACATGAGGAAAATGGGGCAAATCTCTCCAGTGGGAGAGATGGAATTCAATCCAGACAAGCTTGCTCTGAGCACAAACTCTTAACCACTATGCTTTACTACTTAAGAAAACATAACTTAACAATATATATAGTATTATTTCTAAACTGATTTACTGGGTAATCCTAACTCTATCAGGTATAAGCAGGAAATCGTTTCGTTTTCCCAATCCTTGCCTTCACCCATATCTGTCATATCTTTCTTTGCCATCAGCTAAATGACACACTAAATCAATTCCATCACTTCCAGTTATTACAACTCAGTCTTGGGGTGGGCCGCGGTAGCTCAGTTGTTAGGGCACCGGCCACATGCTCCGACTGGTGGGTTCAAACCTGGCCCGGGCCTGCTAAACAAACAAACAAATAAAATAACTGGGCTAACTGGGCATTGTGGCAGCCGCCTGTAGTCCCCCCACCAAAAAAATAAACAAATAAATAAAAAATAAAACTCAGTCTCAGTAACCTAATTGTATGTACCCTCATATTAACCTGAAATTTAAATAAACCTCAGTCTTGTTAAGAACAAAATTAAAATACTGTTTTTCTTCTTTTAAAAATTAAGCTTAGTCTGGCCTTTCGTTCTATAGATTTGATGACCTTCATTCCTTAAAAGTTCAGTGATAAATACATGAAAAAGTACCATTTCCCCGAACCAATTCTTAGTTAAAACTATTCAGTATGAAATATTAGTCAACATCAAACCATAATCCTGCTGATTTTTAGTAACATAAAAAAGAATAACAGATTCTCTTCTGGTAGTCAATATGTGTCATGTATGAAAACAATCAAAAGTTTTAACACTTCTAAACTATCTATCTATCTACATATATGTATATACACTATCCTTGTGGGCTATAACTATTATAACTAAGAATAATTTAATGGATGCCAACAATATATAAAGATTTGTACACCATGTAATTAGAATTAATCCTTACCTATTTAGTTTACAATTTATCAACATGAATCTAAACTAATTAAGTATAATAAAATCTTGGACTATAACCAAATCATACCTTTTACAAGTTGTTCTAAAGAAAACACTTCAAAAATACCCCCTACACATAATCTTTTCTTTTACCTAGTACAGACTCAAAATCTGGACAGGGAAAAATTTAAAGCCCATAATTTTTTTAAAAAACAGTTTTTGCTTCTACCACCCACATGTCACTTTGAAAACAAGCTCCAGATATTGCTGGAAAAAGAAAAGCACCAACTGAGTCACATTTACAGTTATTTCATTTTTCAATTATGTATCTGGATCAAAACCATTAGTCTTCATATAATGAATTCAATAGATGCCAAAATGACATTTTGAAATTCAACACCTGTCCCTAATTTTTTTAAAGACTAAGAAAGCTAGGAATGGATGGATACTTCCTTAACATAATAAGTTTCAGTCGACAACGATTTTTCCATTAAGTCATTAGCAAAAGAAGGATGTCTACTTTCATTGTTTTATTTTAACATTGTTCTGCTATTCTGGCCAATGTAATAAGACATGAAGCTGAAATAAAAGCAGTGGCTGTTAGATAGAAAGATATAAAAATAGAATTACTTGTGGCCAATGTGAGTAAATACTTATATTCAGGAAAATCCATTGACAGGTTGGCGCCTGTTGCTCAGCAGTTAGGGCGCTGGCCACTTACATTGGGGCTAGCGGGTTTGAGCCGGCCTGGGCCTACTAAACAACAATGACAGCTACAACAAAAAATAGCTGGGCATTGTGGCAGACACCTGTAGTCCCAGCTACTTGGGAGGCTGAGGCAAGAGAATCGCTTAAGCCCAGAACTTTGAAGTTGCTGTGATATGTGACGCCATAGCACTCTACTGAGGGCAACATAGTGAGACTCTGTCTCCAAAAAAAAAAAAAAAAAAATTTAAAAACTCCCAGAATTGATAAGAGAAATAGAATATAGAGGT